ACAGTTTCTGCTCTCAGGGAGCTCACAATCTAATGGGAGAGACAACATACAAACAAACATATATGAAACAAGCTACATACGGGAAATAGTTAACAGAAGGAAAACATTGGACTTAAAAGGGAGTTAGGAAAGGCTTCCTGTAGAAGGTAGGATTTTAATTGGGACTTAAAGGAAGCCAGGGAGGTCAGTAGTCTGAGAGGAGGAGGGAGAACTTTCCAGGTATGGGGGTGGGTGGAAAAGGCAGCCAGTTCCAACTCACTAAACCTACAGCCTCAATTTTTCTAATTTTCTTTCTAAAAGAAACAATTCTTGAGCCCAAGGTCCATTGAACATTAGGTAAGCAGCTCCCTTTCCGTTCTGAAATTCGGTGATTCATTTTAATATTCTTAGCATTAGAGAAGTATTCTTCCTTCCTCTAATAAACCAGAAGTTATGAAAGGAAACTGCATTTACCCTCAGGCTCTTCCCTCCCCCAGTTTTTCTCCACTATTTGTGAAATTGAAGAACTTTCACTGATGAGCTCACTCTATAAAAGGGTAAAACTATTTTCTTTCAACTTGCAATACCCTTGTTACACTGTGGGTGTCACGTCACTGGAGTTGAGGTCCCAGACCCCATCCTTGCAGACACACTCCTTTCTACCACTTAGCTCACTTTGAAACAACCAATCCACAGTACAAAATATTATGCAACAGGAAAATGGCCCCTTTGGCCAACATTCTACCAAGAGGGAAAGGGAGATAGGGATGTGGAAGGCTTGGCTATTTTTTTTGTAGTGTTTACCCTTAATAGGTCAATTTTTAAAATTACTAAATTGAAATAAAAGGACAGAATGAGGGAGCATGCTCATGATTTCTGAGCTTCTTGTTAACTATTCTAAGTATTTAGGCAAGTTAGAAGTAATCAGATATACTTACCAGTGTGTGTGTGTGTGTGTGTGTGTGTGTGTGTGTGCGTTTGTATGAATCCATGCATATGGAAAACTCAAAGTGATGGCAAACAAGGTCCAACTATTAACTGTCTTTGCTGGTATCTCTCTGGAGTTCAGGGGGAAAAGGAAAGTAAATTAAAGTAGGGCAGAAGGAAGGGAAGGAAAGTTTAGCATTTAAATTAATAGTTGTCAGGCACCCCCTCCTCTCCCCATTTTAACTGGCTCAGCACTAGGGACATTTTGAGTCACCAATTATAATAAGTATCATTCCAGAGTCTGAAAATTTTTTTTTCTTCAAAAAGGCAGGCTTATTGGGCAAAAAAGATACAACATTATAAAACTCAATCTTAAAGTATAGTATACATTACATAAAGTATAGTTACATTACATTACATTAACATATGAATGAAGCCCCAAAGGTGACTGAGGAGGATTTAATGGTAAAGTCAATAGGTTGAGTAACTTTCCTAAGACACACTTGACTGAGAAAGGAGGGGAGATGACTCACCACAATAAGTTAAAATGACTGAGTTAAATAAGTTAAAATATAACTACACTGAACACAGCTATATTTTTGATACACTACTGCACTGCAAACCTGGGGCTCACTTTTCCAACCCCAGCCACTGGCAGATTGGGGTCCTATAGTGGGGGCTGGCTACTTGTCTAGGTTTGCCCTACATTTGAACGCCCAGATTCTAGCATGGCTTGCTACTTTATACAAGCCCCATTGGGTGTGACTGTCTTCCCAACCAATACCAACATATTTCCCATGTTGCTTTATTTCATTTCATCCACACTTTCTTTCCTTTCAAACTGATTAAGAATTTTTCATCTACTTAAATGCCTTTGCTTGAGTGGAGATTGATTTAGTCTTACCAGATTGAGGTAGCTTTTTTTAAGTTGGGTCAGTCAACTGAATAACTCAATAGACTCTCTCACACTAATAAAATGAATACTTTAAAAGGAGGTATGGATTCTAAAGAGTCTACCATTACAGAATAGCCACCAGATGAAGTAAATAAATGCTATTTCTAATTCCATTGTATAATTCCATCAAAAAATTGGTTCCAAGGAGTGCCAGGGATAAGTTCTCATTCAGTCCTTTTCTTGAATGCTTAATAGAAGCCAGCTTAATTAAGTCACAAACACTAACAATGGCCAGGGTGGTATTGGGAAAGAAAGTCCATCAAAACCTGTAGCATATGGACAGTAAGTCAGTCTCCACATGTGGCTGTATAGGGTTACTTGCATATAGATGACTGGAGCCTTAGGACAGCAACATGTGATTCCATTAGACAATGTCAACAGGGCATGTGCCAAATCTGTATCTCCCAAAGCTTTTAAGTTAAGCATTTGTACTCCTCCCCACCCTCCCAATATACACAAGAAAATATATATCCCCATTTCAAGAGGTGGGCAGTAGGTGGAAAGGAGAACTCATTCATTTCTTCTAGATTCAGGACCGGAGAGAATTTAAAAGTTGCTTATCAGATCCAATTTCACCAGGCTCTTCTCTTCAGCTAAATCAGGTACTTAATGCACAAAGTCAGAGAGGTGTCGCCCCAGCACTTGCAAATGGGTTATTACAACCCCAAGGAAGAAAGAAAACAAGTTATCCAATTCCAGTTCCGAACCTTCATCACCCTCTGGGGAACTTTCAGCTGCATGAACTGCTGGACATCACAGGTGCTGTTATTCCTACCCTCGAGGCTTTTAAGCAGGGCACATGACCCAGATTTCGACGGAGTCTCAACCTTCAGGCTGCCCTCACGGCCTCAGCAGCCTCATCTTAATACAATTATCGACTTCTGTCTGTCTGCTGTCTTTGCTAACCTGTCCTCCCTGTCCTCGACATACTACCAGATCAGTAACTCTATTTATTTGAGAAAAGTACTGGAAGTCTAAGGCATGTCGAGAGTAGAGCAAAGAGGAAGGGGGAGAGTTGAGAAAGGAAGGGAAGTGCCTTTTTTTTTAAACTTTCTTAAAGATAGGTTATAGTTACGTAAAAATGTGGTGAGTACATACGGAACTGATCAAGGGGAGAGGGCAGGGCGGGACTCCCAGTCCTGTACTCTGGGCTTTCCCACTTCAGTACCAGCGTGCTGTCAAATGCAGCCTCCCCAGAGCTTGGCTGGCACAGAAAGAGCTCCAAATTCAAGTCAGTTGCTCTTAACGTCAAAGGAAATGGTGGTTCCCCCAAGTACACACACATACAAGCCCCGCCTCCAATCTTGAGACCCCCCCCCCTTTCCCAGATCCCCGGCCTTGGATAATCTTTCAACAGCAAAGCTTCCCAAAACTCAAGAAGGGAAATCTTGAACCACCATCCTGTGCATCAAAAGCTCCTGAGAAGGCTCCCTGCAAGTGTTGCAGGGGGAAGGGCAGAGGAGGGTGGAGGGTGAGGGTAAAGCTGTGGGTGTGTGCTAGGGCGTGCAACTGTTATTCAAGTGAGACTCCCAGCTACGTAAGTTACCTCCGGATGATAACAACGTCAAGCACTTCTCTACAGCTCACAAAATTGAACAGGCAAACCTCCACTTTTACAATTCCTCAATTCCCTTCTCTCTCCCTCTCTAACTCTGCAAGATCTGGAGCCATAAAATTTTCCTAGGAATATGGGTGGCCCCCGCACCTACCTAGTCCACCTCCTAGTTGGAAAATATATATAGACCAAGGCATCTTTAGGCACTGTGAATCCAGTTCACCTCCGGCGTGACTCAGTCAAACAGTACAAGCAAGAATACTGGAAAAGTAACCCCTCACCTTCCTAAATTCCCTCTCATTTCCAACCTCTTGTCCCAGAAAACTGCTCCCTCCCGGAGCCATCCGTAGGCTCCCGGAGCCCTCTTCAAGATCCTTGAAGGCGGGCCAGGCTGCCCATTTCTCCAGGGCGTCTGTAGGTTTCATGCCTTACCTGCTAGCAGAGAAATTCAACACTCGGCCTCGCTCTCCTCTCCCCACTCTCCTCCCCTCTTGCAACAAGCATGAACTGGCGCCCTCTGCTGAGTCACCCGAAAGAGTGCGGGGGTGGGGGTAGGAGAATTGGGGAGGAGGAGAGGAATAAGGAGTGTGTGTAAAGGGGGCGAGTGGGCAGTAACAGATACAGGACCAGAGGTTAATGTGCAGTGACCCACGTTAGCTCTTTCCTCTCCCTTCTCATTACACACCACCTAGCAAATGCCCGCCTCTAGGTTTAAGGAGTCAGGCTCCCTCCACCCAGCCCTTTCCAACTAGAAAGAAAGGGACAGTCATCGTACAGTCACCGCCCGGAGCCAGCGGCCAAACCCCTAGACCCCGACAGCCCCGCGAAGCCAGGGCGCTGACACGCAGGGAGCGGAGCCAGAAGAAGAGATTCCACCTCGCGGGGAGGGCTAAAGAACCCACACCCTGGCCCCAGGCGGCGTCCTAAGGAAACTGCTGGGAATCAGACGGATGCAAGTCCTATTTTAAAACTCCGGCAGATTTTTTCCTGTCCTTGAAAACTGAGTACTGCCCTGTATTCCCAGCAGCTAGAGAGACTGAGAGGGGAAAAAGGGGAGGGGGAGGGCTTTCGGGGAAGCCCGACTTATTAACTCCCCCTGGGTCCTAAGGAGAGTAGGCAGGGTGCAACTTCAACCCCAGAGCTCCGGTGCCCCCTAAGCTTAGGGGCCAACTAGGCAGGCTCCGGCCCCAGAGACGGGGGTTGATGGAAAGGGATCGAGCAAAGAAATGAAGTGTTGGAAGCAACGCTCTCCCCAGCCTGAAGACCAGGCTCTCTCTCACCTGTGCAAACATCCACAGCATAAGCTGGCGGACCCTCAGAGGTACTTGATTAAAACAACCGTTTCTGGTACAGTGGAGGGAGTGGGGGAGCAGGTTTGGAGATGAATAAAAGTTACCCAATTAGTCTATGTGCAAACCTCCCAATACCAGCTGGCTGAGGAACTCCTCAGAGATGAGATGATTCCTCCCGGGAGAAACAGAGCTCGCGCACATGCATAAATATAAATACACACACGCACACACTTATGCACACCCATACACACAAGCACACCCATACACACAAGCACACGCCTCCCGATCTTACCTTGGTAGTCAGCTGTGCCTCCCCAGAAAGCCCCGCCGGCCAGCAGCGCTCACACACCTGCCTGGAATCTCTCCTCCAGAGACAAAGTTAGCGGTGGAGGAAAAACTTCCAGGGTGCAAGCCCCGGTTCTGGCTCCCAAGGGGCGCCAAGCCTCAACGCTCGGGTCTCCGAATTTCTTCGCACTCAGGGCAGCACCAGCAGCTCCCTGGGTGAAGCTGGATCCCGCGGCAAGGGGAGGAAGTGGGACAGAGGGTCTTGGCCCCGTAATCCCCGGCGGCACCACCAGCAACAGCCCGGCACAAGTTTCGAGGCTCTACCCTGGCCCCCCCAGTGCGTCCTTCCCCCAGCTTCTGCAAGCCTCCAGCCTGGAGCAGGGAGTGGAGTGTATTAATTATGTAGCGACCTCAGCCGCGACCTCCCCTCGGTGTTGTGTCCCCCTCTCCCTACAACCCCCTCCCCTCTCTCGTTCTGCCTGTCAGTCCACAGGCGCCGGGCTCTCTGAGTGGCCAGGACCGCGTGCCAAAGAAACCCGGCTGGCTCGAGCCCACCCCCTGGGCGCGAGCTCGGCCCTCCTCCTTCTCCCCGCTCCGCCCCTATTTGGTCCGGCTCCCTTAGGCCCCGCGCGCACACGCTCCTGACTCTCCGGCAGCAGCTCAGCGCGCGGGCACACCCCCCTGACCACACTCTGCTCGCCCGGCGCTTCCGGGGGACAGGAACCGAGCTTGCCTTAAAGGGCCCACGCCTCCTGCTTAGCCGCAGCTAGGCTCCGCCCCCAGTTATCTCCTGGGTTGGAGATAAAAGCTGCGGATGCGACTCGGAGCTAGTCAAATCCTAGAAGGACTTAATCACGTGCTGTGTTGCTTGTTTGGGGGATGGTTGGTGTCGACTTCACTTGGGTTTGTTCTCTACCCCTACCTCCTATCTCCGAATGCTGGTCTCTACTCATTCTTCTTTTGTATATCCCTAGAGAAAAATATAAAGGTGTATCTCAAGCCAGGTGTGTACAAAAGATAAAAGCCTTAACCTGCAATCTGGGGTTGACCTAACTCCCCTTTGTCAATCAGGTCCTAACCCCCACCATCAAGAAACATTTAATGAACATCCACAGTATATTTAGGTTCTCTCTCTCTCTCAGACAGAGAGGGAGGGAGGGAAAGATGAACTGTCTGCTGCCCTCGAGAAGCTTAAAATATACAAGCTGCACACACGTGCAACTTTGGAACTTGTCCAACACTGCACACAAATGACTGAAAATTAATATACTATACTAGAAAGTCCGGCCCTTCGCTCCAGGCTCAGAACTGCCTAACATTATTTGTTAATTGCAAAATAAACACATCTTCGGATCCCCTGCTAGGCCTGAGTGACTTGGGCAGTATTTTACACCTTTGGTGAGAAAGGGAAAAAAAAATCAGCTGGCAGAAGGTGTAGGCACTTAACCTGTACAGATCAGAGGTATGTGAATAATTAACACTCACAGCTTGGAAGAGGTGCTCTTCCACTAGTCAGTAATTAATTCTTGTAAATTTTAGAGGGTCTGCCTAAAGTTTGTCTTGTGGTTTTTTTGATGTTGTTGTTTGGGGGGGGCATTTGGGGTTAAGTGACTTGCCCAGAGTAACACAGATAGTAAGTGTTGTGTGTCTGAGGCTGGATTTGAACTCAGGTCCCCCTGACTCCAGGGCCAGTACTCTATCACACTGCACCACCTAGCTACCCCTTGCCTTGTGTTTGTAAGGTGTTTCTGATAACATTTTTTAAACATCCTCCCAGGTCATTCTCCTTCCTTCCTCAAAATAACGAATACAAGGCTCATAGTATTCTCTCCACCTACTCTCTGCCCCTATGCTTGGGAACATTACTGTACATACTCAAGTCCCCTCAAACTCCTGGTCTCCCAGTCCATCAACCTCCTTCACTCTCACGATTTGAACTCAAACCCACTGGAAACATTATACCCTTGATGACACTATCATTTGTATTTATTCAGCTTCCATGATACCCAACTCTGAAATTCTCTTAGATGGTAATCTTTCTTTCCTTCCATCTCTCCCTGTACCTCATGTCTCCTAAAGCTATTCTTGACTTACCATAGCGCCCTCTTGTCATTACATCAGGTCTTCTTTGGCCTCACTTTCCTCCCATCCTAAATATGGCTTTATAACTTTGTGCTGTCCTCTATACCCAAATTCCTTACCCCACTGCCATATCACTGTGGCTCATCCCTTTCCAAACCTCAACTCTAGACCACGCCCAACATTTGCCTTCCTACCTCCTGACCCAGGAGAAAGTCACATAACTTTGTTGACTAGTTCCACTGCAAATTTGTGTTAATCTAATCTCCACTGGGGCTTCCTTGCTCCTCTTAAATCCTTTTCATCTTCCCTGGTGGACTATTATCTTGAGTCTCACCTTCTGTTCCAAAACTAATTTCCTCAAAAGCCACTTAGATGACTCCTCCCCCATCACTCTCCTCAAACTTTATCTAGAAAACAGAAGTCATCAGTTGTGAGCACCCATCTTCTTCCCAGTTCTACACAAAATTTCAACATTACCCCATCCTCTCCTCCTTTGTTCCCAGTCTCTGAAAAAGAGGTGGTCTTTTACATTTTTAAATTTTATTTTCATTTAAATTTTTTTGCTCCATTTTGAGTTCCCAATTATCTTCCTCTCTCCCAAACACACATTAGAGAAGGTCAAGATTTGATGCAGATATATGTATAATACATACTTTATAACACATACTTCTATAGTCTTTTTATTTTGATATCACCCATTTTCCCCATTGCATCCTGCCCTTCTCCCAGAGCCTACTCCCAGGGGAAAGGGACTCCCAGGTCTAGGAAGTACCCCACCTTCCATGGCAGGGAGTGTTTTCTACCAACCATTTTAAATTTTAGTCTACTGTCCCCAGGCACCTAGTGAGGAGAGGTTTGGAGGGATTTTTTTTTCTATTTTCGTCCCTATGTATCATTTTGTAAAAGTTAATTGCTATTGGAGAACACAGAGGATAAGAGTACCTAAAAGAAAATAAAGTATTAGAAACTCCAACCCCTTCCTTGACAACAAAAGAAGTAATCTGGCTAGTATTTAGGGAGCTAATCTGCCAAGTGAAGGTTAGGAGAAAGCTCACAGAGGGGGCTACATAAACAAGAATAAAAAGTTCTAAAAAGTTAATATATCAAAATTTAAGGTGAGGGTTATCAAAATATCTACCATCAAATTCAGTGTTCTACAATCACACTGTTTTAGTCCTTTCAGTGATTTCTGATTCTTAAGACCCCAAAGTTTTCTTGGTAAAGATACTAGAGCTCATTTTACAGATGAGGAAACTGAGGCAAACAAGGTTAAGTGACTTGCCAGGGTCACAGAGCTAGTAATGTCTGAGGCTGGATTTGTACTCATGAAGATGAGTCTTTCTGATTCCAAGCCCAGTGTGCTATCCACTTCCACGAGTAGCTGCCATATACCCTCTACAAAGAGGTTCACATATTCAAAAAACAAAAGGTGGGATCCTTACTCCTTCTTTGGGGCCAAAGTTGATCATTTAAAAACAGCTCAATTGTCACCTCCTACATAAAATTTTTCCTGATCCCTGAGTTGCTAGTATCTCTCTCCCAAAATGACCACAGATTAATTTTGTTTCTGTATTTTATGTAAGTACCTGTCTTCTCCCCTGTTAAAATATAAGCCCACTTAGGGTGGGGAATGTTTTCACTTTTGTCTTTGTATTTCCAGCACTTAGCCTCTAGTGTTGAGCATATGTGAGATACTAAATAAATGCTTGATCCATTTATTGATCTTAAGCTGTCCATTAAGCAATCAATTTTTTGCTCATTGAGAAGCAGCTGTGGACTGGACCTGTGATTTCATTGTTAAAAAAAACTTGTTCTGAGTGCAGGGACTAAGATTAGGTTCCACCTTTTGCAGAAACTGATTTGCCTTGCCTCCTGCTGTGGTTTAACTCTAGTCTGCCTTGCCTGTTGAGCTAGGGGCTTCCTACTGTGGCTGGGACTCAGAGGCTACCCTTTCAGGGCTTTCTTCTGCTTTTGTAGGGTTTGAGATTGTCCCTAAGCAGAATTCTGCTTGAGGCCTTTCTTCCATTGCCCCTGGGCTTTCAAGTTGCACTGCTGGTGGGACCAGCCTGCTTATGTTTGGTACTTTCCATCCAGCATTCTGATAGGTTTTTTGTTTTGTTTTTGTCCAGCCTTAGACAAGTAGACAGGTTTATAGATTCATTTTCTCTCTCTCTCTCTCTCTCTCTCTCTCTCTCTTCTCTCTCTCTCTCTCTCTCTCTCTCTCTCTCTCTCTCTCTCTCTCTCTCTCTCTCTCTCTCTCTCCCCCTCTCTCTCCCCCAATACACACACCTTTTTAGAGCTCCACTGGGATACCTTTTTTTTCCTCATGAAAAAGTTTATTCTAAAATAAGAAACATGAAAATTAAAGTAGAATTGGGGAGTAGAAATTCAGGGGACCATTTCTGCCACACCCCCACCCTATGTCCATCCCTGGGTCTGCTTCCCAGTTGGATGTGTGTGAACCTAGGTGACTTAGATATACCTCAAAAACCAGTGGGAAAGGTGAAGCCCCACAATGGGGGAGGGAAGGAGGGTTAGGAGAATCCAGCAGGAAGGAAGGATGTCTAGAGCAGCTGCTAACTTTCTCTATCGGACCTAACAAATAAAGGAGTGGTTGGGTGGGTAGGTGGGGATGCAGGAAAGGTGAGGTGACAAAGATCACAGGCTGTCTTACAGGTCTGCTCTGCTCATCGGATGGTGTACTTGTCCCACTTTTTCTCTGGATCATAGGGCTCCCAGCGGCTGGCTGGGAAAATATGCTTGTTCTTCTCATACCAACTCCTTAGCACCACCTTTCCTGCATGTGACTCATCTTTCTCTACTGTGGCATCACTGACTAGTCGAATGTCATCATGGACATCAAAGTTAAAGAGTGGGCCACTCTTCCCTCTGGCTTTGGTGACGATGAAGTCATAGAAGCTGTGATGCTGAGGTATAATCAGATCCTCCTTGATGTACATGAGCTGCTCCACTCCCGCTGACCTTAGCTCACTGAAGTCTTTCCGAAGGATCTCTAGAGCCTTCTGCAGGAACTGTTGCATGGTGTTCCCCTTCTTCATCTTTACCGTCCTTCGGTGCCCAGAGCCATCCCAGTAACTAAACGTGATTTCAATTTCTTCACTCTTGATCTTCTCCTGCTTAGCCTCCCATTCCTGTCGAAGTTCCTCTCGGAGCCTATTTTCCTCCTCCTCTCTATCCAGGTCAGGAAGAAAGCTCGTGTCCACATCTGGGTTCTTCCCTAATTTTCTCTTCTTTGAAGAGACCCCTTCTCCACTGAGCTTGTTAACGCTCTGCAGGTAGGAACCTGGCCTGTTCTTGCTCATGTCTACACTGTCTTCCCAGTCAAGATCTGCCACGTCCCTGTCTTCCTCAGGCTCCTCTTCCTCATCCAAGGTGAAGGACAGACTGGAGATCTTCCGCTTCTCTTCCTTCTTGCGTTCCTTCTCTCGCAGTTTCTCCAGCTTTAGCTGAAGTTCTTTGGACTGTTCCTTCTTAGCCAGCTGCTTCTCCCGCTCCTTCACCAGCGCTTTCTGCTTGGCCTTCATGTCGTTCAGGGTCACAAGACCCACAGTGCTGGACTTGAGCTCG